ACATACAATAAATGTACATACACCCAGCCCAAAGGCTGAGACCCTTGTGCTGCACAGCACTGCGCCTTCTGATGGATCAAGGTAGAAAGTGAAAGTGTTATTACCCTAAAAGAGCAGGAATCAGTGTATGGGTATATGGTATGGGCTAGCCTGCGGTGCAGCACAACAGCTTACAATCTTACACAAAATCTACAGTATTCCCCCTCCCATAACTGGTCCTGTAGCCCGTGCCTGAGTATTCCTTCTAAAGAAACGCCAGTCTGGCTTGAGTTTGTAGGATTTTATCAGCTCTCCAATGTGAAATGTCACTTTAAGTGGTGGAGTCCTTCCATTGATCAGTAACAACACTTGCAGCCTGACACAAACAGAGACCCTAACTAACTAACTATCGGCCTGGACTCAGTCTCTGGGCGCCAACACTGAAATGAGGTGCGTGTACGATCTTACCGACCCGGGTCTGCTTTGCATCCGCTGGTGACTCTGAACAGAACAAATGTTGCTTAGTTCCTCTGCTCTCATCAGCCTTCCTGGCAGCAATCTCTGGTTAGTGAGGGACGCTTTCACACCTGGATGTCATCGGATTCTCAGCTCACAAGGCCCCTGCATTCAGCATCGTCCAAAACAAGGCTGCAGTCTCTTCTTCCTGTTCACTAAAACCCCAACTCTGTGTGAAAACTCCACCTCTTCATGAATATACAAATATCTATGCAGTCTGAGCCTGTGTTAGAAAAACAGTGACATCTTGTGGTTAAACCGCAGAATGTCAGTCAAAACATTAATTTACTCACAATAATTTACTGCACACAAACAGTGTTCAAACAATGAGAGCTGTTTCCCCATCTCACATTTTGACCAGAGATACACTTTAATCCTTAATATGAAGACAAAGCTTGTACACAGGAAGTGGAGAACAGAAAGAGATATAGCTGCTGAAAGACCCCATTAAAGCGGGAGTAAATTACAGTAAAGGGAAAAAAAAAAGTACCCTGCAAGGTAATGTCATAATGTGCTAGTATGCATCTCATACTAGCACATTATGTAAAACTTACCTTAAAACTAAGCCCTCCAGTGGCGTGCTGTCACCGCTGAAGAAACTTCCATCTTCACCCTTCTTCCTTCCAGGTTTGCAAGCTCTGGACATCTGACAGACAGAGTCCCAGGCCACGGCACATAGCTCTAAAGGAACGGCACAGATATATGCTGTTCCCTCAGAGCGCATGTGTAATCTTAAAAAAAAAAGAATATCTCCTAAATGGTGCACATTTAGGAGATATTAATTTTAGCTACAGGTAAGCTTTATTACAAGCTTACCTGTAGGTAAAATTAACCACTTGCCCTCCAGAGGATTTACTCCCTTTCCTGACCAGGCCATTTTTTGCATTACAGCACTGCGCCACTTTAACTGACAATTGCATGATCATGCACTGCTGCACCCAAATGAAATTTATGTCTTTTTTTTCCCACGAACAGAGTCATATTTGATCGTCTGTGCGGTTTTTATTTTTTGCGCTATAAAAAAAAAACAATTTTGCGAAAAAAACATATTTTTGACTTTTTGCTATTAAACAGGTCCAGTAAAAAAATTTAAAAAAATCTAATTTCGGCATAAATTTAGGCCAAAATGTATTGTGCTACATGTCTTCGCTAAATGTAAATGCCTCACACACGCCCCCTACCTGGAAATGCAAAATCCGATACTGTATATACGTGATTTTGCGCACCCCTGCCACCCTGTAGCAGTAAATCTTAGGTCAAATTCCGAAATAATTTTCTGTCGGAAAATCTTTTCTAAGAATTTTTGCTCTAATTTGCACCATTAGTGGGCCACAGCAACAGCCAATTGTCGAGCGACCATCAAATTTGAGTGATCGGGCATGTTGGAAATTTTTTGAAAAATGAAAAATTTCTAATCAATGATGAAAGAATCATGTGAGAAATTTAATAAAGAAGAAATGACGATGAGCTGTGACCTGGAAAGAAAAGACAATTCTTGGTCTTGAAAATTCTTTTCTGTGGCAACATGAAGTGAAATTAAAGGGCTTGGTTGATTGAATTTTTAAATCAATCGTGGCACCATCAAATTACAAAATGCACAAAACTTCTGATTTTCTAAAGATAATTAATTTGGAATTCGACCCATGTATGGCCTGCATAATACAGTGATGAGTACTAATCAAAAGAACTGACACTGTACTAATGACACTGGGCAGGAAGGGGTTAACATCTGGGGCAAGCAAAGGGATAAACTGTGTGATATTTTTTTGCTAATAAACATGTCCAGTAAAAAAATTTAAAAAATCTAATTTCGGCATAAATTTAGGCCAAAATGTATTGTGCTACATGTCTTCGCTAAACGTAAATGCCTCGCACACGCCCCCTACCTGGAAATGCAAAATCCGATACTGTATATACGTGATTTTGCGCACCCCTGCCACCCTGTAGCAGTAAATCATAGGTCGAATTCCGAAATAATTTTCTGTCAGAAAATCTTTTCTAAGAATTTTTGCTCTAATTTTCCACCATTAGTGGGCCACAGCAACAGCCAATTATCGAGCGACCATCAAATTTGAGTGATCGGGCATGTTGGAAATTTTTTGAAAAATGAACAAATTTCTAATCAATGATGGAAGAATCATGTGAGAAATGTAATAAAGAAGAAAAGACAATTCTTGGTCTTGAAAATTCTTTTCTGTGGCAACATGAAGTGAAATTAAAGGCTTGGTTGATTGAATTTTTAAAATCAATCGTGGCACCATCAAATTACAAAATGCACAAAATTTCTGATTTTCTAAAGATAATTAATTTGGAATTCGACCCATGTATGGCCTGCATAATACAGTGATGAGTACTAATCAAAAGAACTGACACTGTACTAATGACACTGGGCAGGAAGGGGTTAACATCTGGGGCAAGCAAAGGGATAACTGTGTGATATTTTGCGCTTAATGAACCGCTGGCTGGGATCCAGTGATTGACATTTTTGGGACCCAATGACAGAGCGGGAAGGGCGGAGTATGTGCCCTCTACTCGGAAATGCAAAATCACGCATATATACGTGATTTTGCGCACTCCTGCCGCCCTGTAGCAGTATTTCTGCTATAGGGCAGCGGAAATGCGGCTAAAAAAAAGAGTTTACTACCACTTTAAAAGGACTTTAGCGTTTTTGTTCTGAACTGCACTTGCTGCACTTCTGAATCGCTCCACAGTGCCTGTAGCCACAAAAGCTCAGTAAAGGCTTTTTAAAGCACATTTACTCAATGTTAAAGAGAAACTAAACTCTGGAAGCTGGGTCCAAAAAAATACTGACAGGAGACAAAGTATTAGTCACCAATAATTAAAAGAAACGCACTACTGATATGCAATAATGTGCAAATCCAACTTCAATCCAATATGACCTAACAGTTTAAAATGGAACATGAATTCACGTGCAAACAAATAACATGCATTAACATGTATCAAAAATCATGCTAACTAAAAATACCACAATGTAAAGTGCATATATAAAAGTATGAATATAATATACACAATATTTCCAAAAGTATTGGGATGCCTGCCTTTACATGCACATGAACTTTAATGGCATCCCAGTCTTAGTCCATAGGGTTCAATATTGAGTTGGCCCACCCTTTGCAGCTATAACAGCTTCAACTCTTCTGGGAAGGCTGTCCACAAGGTTTAGGAGTGTGTCTATGGGAATGTTTGACCATTCTTCCAGAAGCATATTTGTGAGGTCAGGCACTGATGTCAGATTAGAAGGCCTGGCTTGCAGTCTCCGCTCAAATTCATCCCAAAGGTGTTCTATCGGGTGGAGGTCAGGACTCTGTGCAGGCCAGTCAAGTTCCTCCACCTCAAACTCGCTCATCTATGTCTTTATGGACCTTGCTTTGTTCACTGGTGTGCAGTCATGTTGGAACAGGAAGGGGCCATCCCAAAACTGTTCCCACAAAGTTGGGAGCATGAAATTGTCCAAAATGTTTTGGTAAGCTGACACTCTAAGAGTTCCCTTCACTGAAACTAAGCCCAAGCCCTGAAAAACAACCACGCACCATAATCCCTCCTCCACCAAACTTTACACTTGGCACAATGCAGTCAGGCAAGTAACATTCTCCTGGCAACCGCCAAACCCAGAAACGTCCATTGGATTATAATATAAAAACCTTTTTTGTGCCAATCAATGAGTAAACAAAAAGTCCAAACTAAAGTCCACTAATAAATAATCTTCTTCTGTGTCCAGTTAGTACCTCCACATAACTCCAGTGTGTACCTCAAAATAAATAAATAAAATACTACATAGTGCATTACCTTTGATAACAACTAATAAATACTTCAAACACAAATGCGTGCAAAAACAAAAAAGATTCAAATCGTGAGCAACATGTGAAATGTGAATCACTCCGTGTACACCTTAAATATAAATAAACGTGAACAATCAGTGTACACTCAAAAGTGAAAATAAAAAATAAAATTAATTAAAATAAAATAAATAAATACATGAAATAAAGTAAATAAATAAATGAATAGTGCACTATCCCTGAACACTTCTAAAGCTGAAATGCATACAATTACCCTCTCAAAGTGAAAACAAGCCTTGTAGAGTATACCCTTTATCTGAAGATAAAGTCCAGAAGTGATGAAACGCATCAGTGGACGTGACGTCTGACCTAACCACGCAAACCGGAAGTGGCGGAGCGGCCATCTTTACTACTGCAATACAGCATAGGACGTTCCAGGAAGCTGCTCTGTGATATTTACAGCTGACAGATGAAGTTTAATATGTAAGGTTTACTTAATAAATATTTATGCTTTTTGATACTACATTACATGGGCTTCCTTTCTATTCTATGAGGATGTGGAGACACTAGACATCTGCCTAAAAGGGGAACCCCACCTGTGTTTACTGAAGTGAAAGTCCAGGGAGTGATACTACACGGGAGTGAGAATCCAGGGTATACTCTACAAGGCTTGTTTTCACTTTGAGAGGGTAATGGTATGCATTTCAGCTTTAGAAGTGTTCATGGATAGTGCACTATTCATTTATTTATTTACTTTATTTGATTTATTTATTTTATTTTAATTAATTTTATTTTTATTTTCACTGTTGAGTGTACACTGATTGTTCACGTTTATTTATATTTAAGGTGTACACGGAGTGATTCACGTTTCACATGTTGCTCACGATTTGAATCTTTTTTGTTTTTGCACGCATTTGTGTTTGAAGTATTTATTAGTTGTTATCAAAAGTAATGCACTATGTAGTATTTTATTTATTTATTTTGAGGTACACACTGGAGTTATGTGGAGGTACTAACTGGACACAGAAGAAGATTATTATTTATTTGTGGACTTTAGTTTGGACTTTATTTACTCATTGATTGGCACAAAAAAGGTTTTTATATTATTTTTTCACTTTCAGGGGTGAAAGTGTGACTTTTTTGGACTCCTTTTTAGATTTGTGGGATTTTTGTTGGATTTACACAGCTGTAAGGTTTATTATTTATTAATTTTTGGATACCAAAATCATATATTTACATCCATTGGATTGCCAGACAGAGAAGTGTGATCCATCACTACAGAGAATACGTCTCCACTACTCTAGTCTAGTGGTGGCGTGCTTTACACCTCTGCATCTGACGCTTTGCATTGCACTTGGTGAGTTAAGGTTTGGATGCAGCTGCTCAGCCATGGAAACCCATTACATGAAGCTCTCTACGCACTGTTGTTCTGCTAATCTGAAGGCCACACGAAGTGTGAAGGTCTTTAGCTATTGACTCTGCAGACAGTTTGTGACTTCTGCGCACTGTGCGCTTCTACATACTCTAACCCCACTCTGTCATTTTATGTGGCCTACCACATAAAATGGCTGAGTTACTGCTGTTCCCAGTTGTTTCCAGTTGTTTCCACTTTGTTATAATACCACTAGCATTTCATCAATAATTCCTGTGGCTTCCCTGTAGTTTTCACTGTTTCTGACTTTTCATGCCTAGTTCTGCACTGTTTGGAGGCAGCCATCTTGATAGAGGCAGGGTTTTGCTTCCTCATGCCAGAGCCTCCATCAAGAAAAACAGTGAAAATCCCACCAGTGACATCACCAATCTTATCCAATATGGCGAGACTAGCAGTGCCTCAGATAATCTCACACTGCAGATATAAAACTATGAGGATGTAGATATGGGAGTTTCTAGGCACCCTCACATACAGAAAGTGCACCAATATTGGTAAGAGAAATTCAAGACAAAAGGTACATTTTGCAGAGTACTGCTTAGCCACAATGATCATTTCTCCAATGTTTTTTACAACATAACAATCTCCACTATGAGTTCAGGTCTACTTTGGGAATATGTAAGTATTTCACTGTTTATAGCCTGACCATAAATTCACAATTTTTGGAAATAATTTAACATGGAGGCACTGAGGGGATTAAGACATGGGACCTAGTAATGGAACACTAGATACAGTGTACAGTGCATATGGGTCTTACACAGAAGGAAGAGGAGATGAAGGGGTTAATGTACAGGTCGGATACAGTAGAAGGACAGAGATGAGGGTGTAGATGTCCAGATGTTCAGGATAAGGAAGGTGAAGGGCTAATATACAGGACCTGTGGAGGAACAAGTACAAAGGAAGTACAATCCTGTGCTCTACAAGTCCTAGCTTTCAATGGACCTAAGAAAACATGCTCTTGCCCTCCTCTCCCATGTTCCTTCCACCTGCCTGTTAGCAAATGGGTGGACATGCTAAACATCTTTAGCAGCATTCACACACGTAATATTCCACCACAGCAATACTGAATAGAAGAGCAATACACTCATCTCTGTCATTAGGAAGGGCATGCCAATAGGCAAGATGGCTCTTCTGGATGCACTTCTGTGCACAGGCTAATACATGTTCCCTCTCGTATTCGCAGAAATTTGGCACATTCTCATTCACGTGTGCATATGCGCGCACATATTGATCCTTGTACTTGTGCACGCAAGTGCACACGTGCACTTGTGATAGATGCTGGTGCCAAATGGGCTATTTAAAGTGGTGCTCAGGATCAGTGCTGCTTTTTCTTCAGCCTCCTGTGCATCTTATGTTCCTGTGATCTTGTATTCTGATTCCAGTTGCTGACCCAGATTGTCCTGACTACCTTCTGAATTCTGGTTGCACTGACCTCGGCTTGTCCCCTGAACTCCTCTCCTGTCTGTTCCATTGTCTTTGGCTTCACTGATTGGTTTCCAGACCCGGCTTGTACCTAGACCACACTTCTGCCTTTGCCCTGTACCTGATCCGTCCTGCCTGTATACAACTTGACCTGTCTGACTCTGCTACTGTCTGGTACCTGCTGCTAATTGCCTGCTGCCACCGTTGCTTGCTGTACCAGTGCTTCTTCAGCTGCCTGCCATTCTACCTGCTTACTGAAAACCCCGGCTAGCAAGACTTATAGGCACTCAAGCCACTCTGCACTCCTGAACCTTCTGTTTACGCTATCAGAGACCCCAAGTCAGAGGCGTAAGAGAGGTCTTCCTCATCATATCCGGCTCTGCTACCAGGTACGTGATAAATGTACAGTATATATGCAAATGTTCATTTAGATCTACATTTCCTAGAAGTCACAGGAGTGCACTTAGTTCTGCACTCCAGTAACCCATATTCAGCCGACAGCAGGCTAAAGCCCTCTGTGGGCTGAAGTCCCTCAGCCAGTCAAGACTCTGGAGAGATCCCGACTTTAATATTGGGATCCACTCAGATGTCTGGATTGGCAGCTGGCTCAGCCTCTCAGTGAGCCTTTTACAGTAGAGCCTGAGCCAGCCATTCCTGCCCACTCCACAGCCCAGCACTCCAGTAAGTTTACTATGTTTCTAAATGCAACTATTATTCTTTTACATCATCTCAATGTGTACTAATGCAGAACTTTTTGGTATTAGTGCATATGAATTGTGCTGCATAAATAATGGCTTTTAAAGTTGCTTGCCTGACTCGAAAAAGGAGGCCCCGCCCCCAAAACACATTGTCCTAGCAACTGGATGCTTCCCATCTCCACCATGTCACTGCCTGTTTCTTCTGGCACCCCAGTGAGCAGTGTGGCCTTGTGTTGAAGATGTGAACGTCTGATGGATATGGCAGCTGGCCTGTGTGATATAGTGGCAGCAGTTGCTGCTGTTGCTACTCTCCCTGTCAGGCTTGCTTCATCAGTCAAGCACTGTGCAGAGGAATTATCAAATATTAAGAGGGATCTCCATCCAGGTGGACATTAAAGACTGAGATGTGGCTTTGATGAGACTTTAAAGTGTTACTAAACCCACAACAGTAAAATCAGTCTGTATATGCAGTAAAGCATGCTCGTTATACTCACTGTGGAACCTAAGGGGTTAATTCTCTGCATTGTGTAAAAAGGATGTTTGATCCTTCCTTCTCTGCCCCTCCTCTTGTTGAAATGACCACCTGATACAGACTGAACCCGTGGTCACATGCTCAGTTTGGTGTGTATTGCTGGAGAGGTTTTTTTTTTTCTTGGGAAAGTGCATGTGATCAGCACAGGGCCAATCAGCACTGTCCAGAGAGAGGGTCAGGGGTCCTGCAGCCTCGTAGGGGAGAATGAAAACTCCTCCTACATGCTTTAACCAATGCTCTGCTTGACACTGATAGAAGTCACAAGACTGCTCTAACTGCTGATGAGAAAAGGTATTTAGCAGTTTCTATTTACTAAAATAATTGCATTTCCATGTTGTGTGTACTGTGGGAGATCAGATATAGAGAATTCAGGGTCCTGGGTTTAGTGATACTTTAAGCGTCTAATATTTTGAGTGCGTAATATATTGTGATTTTTAACTTTTTGGTTTTAAAGGATGAATTGCACTAGAGTGGTTTGTGCTGTCTCTTTATATTGTGTTTTTATCCACCTAGGTGAGTATGATTGTTTGTTTTTTTTATCCCACATCTCTCTTTTAAAAAAAAACACATTTAGCCTTGGTTCACAATTATACAGTGCAGGAAATGTAGCAAATCCTGTGCGTTTTCCGAACCGCATTTAAATCATGTAACTTATGAATACCCATGTGATCAGATTCTGCTGCCTGCACCTTTTTTTGTGTGGGTGCAGTGCAATTTGAGCCCATACAATATGAATCGTCTCAAATCACACTGCAAAGAATCTCATGTGATTTGAATAGGATGTGATGCGAATTCCTGTCCGAACTACATGCGATGTTCCGCACCGCACAAACATGAACCCAGGCTAAATGTAATTCGGTGTTGAGCCTGATCATCTCTGTACAGATATGTACATATCTAATCATGCCTGTTTCACAGGATACCATCACTTGGTGTCTTGACAGGTCCAGTCATGCGGGTCAGCAGGCTCTGGCTCCCCTGCGTAAGGGACCGACAATGGCTGTGAATTTCCTATGCCAAGAGCCTCTCTATTTGTTACAGAGGATCAAACATTACGTTAAGTGTTTTGAGGTCAGAGATGTTGACTCCCAACTGCTAACTGAGTGTCTTGGATATCCATTTAACCACTTCAAGTCTGGACACTTTTACCCCCTTCCTGTCCAGGCCAATTTTCAGCTTTCAGTGCTATCACACTTTGAATGACAATTGCACGATCATGCAACACTGTTCCCATATGAATTTTTTAGTGCCAGAATGCCCGCTGCAGTCCTGCTATAAGATCGCCACCATAACTAGTTGGTTCTGGGCAGCTCAGTGGATTGCTTTAAAAAGGCCTGGATTCTTTCTTGGATACACAAAATGTAACTGGATACTAACATTTATAGGTAAAGTTGATTCAAGGAATATCTGATTGCCTCTCGGGGGATCAGGAAGGAATTGCTTTCTCCTGTAGGAGCAAATTGGATCATGCCTTGCTGGGGGTTTGTTTGCCTTCCTCTGGATCAACTGTGGGTGTAGAATTATAACTTTTTTTTTTAAATGGTTGAACTGGATAGACTTTTGTCTTTTTTTCAGCCAGACTAACTATGTAGCTAGTATAAAATAAACAAATAAATAAATAAAAATTCCAGTGTATACCGACATTTGCAGACGCTATAACTTTAACACAAACAAATTAATATACACTTATTGGGATTTTT